AAAAGCACAAAATCCATGTACAACCGCAACATCATAAGAAACTCACGCCTCTTAATATGGCGGATAAAGGCTATCAACCATTGCTAGAAACAACCACTGTTAAAAATAAGATGCAGAGATGGAAACCAAAAGAAGTACATGGACGGTACCCCGCTACCACCAAGGAATGATTAGAACACAGTACGCTGATTGCGGAAACTGAGGGCTTTATGCACGCCATTCAAGATCAAGTAATACCGACATTAAACTACCTCAAGTACATAATAGGAGATCCAGACGTACAAGATGACAAGTGCAGAATGTGCCACACCAATTCGAAAACCATAGGACACATAATCGCTGGATTCACAATCTTAGCTCCAACAGAATACCTCAGAAGTAATACACCAGGAAATAGCCCAAAGAATTGGTGTTATGATGGGGACCCCTCCTTACTATACCTACACGCCAGAACCTGTTACTGACACAAAATATACTGGAGCAAAACCATACAGATCACACCATGGAACACAATAGGCCAGACATTGTGGTACAAGACAAACTCCACAAAATTACTTACCTGACAGCGCAATTGCAGATTGTTCAGAAAGTGTAACATATATACGCCAATTCAAAGCATGTTGAGTGTTCTTAATTTCTTGCCTGTAAAACAAAAAGTAATGTATAATGTCTATATATTTATTCTTAAAACTAAACAGCAGTGTGTTCCCAACTATGTTTGTGAAAAAGTCACCTATTTCAGAGATATTCATTCTCACAATACAAGAAATTGTGGTACTTTTATGTTGAGAGAGTGTTATTCTAATCATGTAAAAAACTCTATATTACATAAAGGTCTAAACCATTTTAACAATTTACCGCATAATATTAAAAACTGTGATGCTGTTAATAAATTTAAAAGACTTTTAAGACGCCATCCGTCCAAATTATGATTTCTGTGTGGTTTTCGTTTATCTGGAATTTTATATTTAGAATTTATATTTTGTATTTTTTATGTAGCATAATGCTAAATAAAGATTATATTATTACTTATTTGCCGATAATTTTGAATGTCGTTCTGATAACTTTTTTTAAAGTGTGGGACAACCAGAGCGTGTTATGCTTATTATTATGTAATTATGCATTCGATTAATAAATTAAAAATAAAATAATAAAAATAATGGCCCGGGTGTTTATAACCGATATTAGTTGAAATGAAATTAATAAAACAGATCCTGCACAGCCATGGAAACGTTCATCTCTGATTATACATATTATATGAGCTGACGTAAGCGCTCAGTTAACTCTACAGCTTCCGGCCTGTGCTAATATACTTTGCGAAATTATTTACGCGCTACGTACTCCGTTTCCGGTTTAATTATCGATCGGTTCTGAGCGATATTAAATATTCCTCCGCACTTTGCATTAACTGTATAACAATTCCAAATTCAATTTTCCAAGATTAAATATTGAAATGCGCACAAAACTCTAAAAGCGTTGTAATACTTTTCGCAAATAGTGAATTAAGCAGAAGTTTAATCGCTAGGTGCGTATGCAACAATTGCAACTACAAATTTTATGCTTTCATTATCATCAGAACTGGAACAACCATATAGCTATGAGATAATATAGGGGCCCTACTACGGTAAAAAGTGATGCGCCGCAGGTGGCTATGATATTTTCGTAGAGTGTGGATCTTATGCGCACGCGTCACAGCCAACTAACTGAGTTAACACATTGCCGTACTTTTGTGTATAAGAATTACAGGAAATATATTACCCCAGAAAATGGGGAATCTGCAGGATATTTTTAGGAAGTCTGAAGGCGTTACAAGAAATCTTTGAGAATTATCATGAATTCTAGGAAACTATTCAAAATTATGGGGTACGGTCTGTTCATAGATATAAGAAAGTTACCAACTGCTTTTGAATGGGATTATCCAAGGGTGGTCATTAACATACAATGCAAAAAGATTATTACCTAAAGTTCCGGAATTTAAATTCTAGTGAGTCTAGTGATCTCAGAAGATGATGATGAACACTATTCTTTTGAGACTAAGGAACGTGGTGCCAGCAGGCAAGCATCTTTAGAAGAAACGCCACATTGACGAAAATTCCAACATCAACTGTATGGAAAATTGTGAATAATCCCATTTCAGCGAGGAGAAAAAGAAGCGATGCTGACATATTCTCGAGTGTAGACGGAAGTGATCAGGATATAATACGGCGTAAAATTTACCAGTTATACGAGGAACAAGGCGTGCCTACGTTAGATATCTTAATTAGGAGGCTTGAAAAAGATGAAACTGGTGTTAAATACGGCAGAACTACCTTATGCAAGTGTAATCAACACATGGGTTTTAGATTTAAAAAAATTGACAAAAGGCAAGTTTTAATGGAATCTTTTAGAAATGGCGACTGGAATATTTAGAAAAAAATTAAAAAATAGGATTTCCAGAGAACAACAAAGGCCAATTATTTACTTAGATGAAACCTGGTTCGACACTTATAATATCCCGGAAAAGGGTTGGGTTGATTCAACTGATAAGTGTAAAACAAATGCGCCATCAAAAAGAGGTAAAAAAATAACTATTTTGCACGCTGGCTCTAAAGATGCTTGGATTCCAAATGGACTTTCTCTGTCTGCGAAAAATATTGAAGATTCTTTTCTCTGGATTACCATGAAGACACCACCGCAGATTTATTAGAAAACAAACTAGACAAACAAACAGTTGACTAAAACCCCTTCCTCATGTGACACAAAAAAATACGTCTGTGATAATTATGCAAAAAATCTAGGGCATACAGTTTTAAGGCTTCCACCTTACCACTGTATATTTAATCCCATTGAACATGTTTGGCACCCACTGAAATCTGCCATTCGGCGCAACAATGCTTTTCCCCGTGTTAACTCCAATGTCCTCAAACTTATAGAAACCGAAGTTTTTAACATCCCCCCACAAAGTTGGGCAAATTCTGTTAAACATATAGAAAAAGCAGAACAATCGTATATCCATATTGCAAATAATATAGAACAAATAATAAAAATAATTTGTAATTTTATTTTAGATTTAAGCATAAATACATACATAAGTAAATAAATATTACTAAACAATATTTATTTTCCTAACAAAACCCAAAATAATAAAATTCTAAGCCAAGTACGGACATATTCAGCCATATAACATTCTTACAGCTTTTCCGGGTCTTTCCTTAATTCGTATCAGTTAGTCACATTCTTATATCTATGAACAGACTTTATATTTAAATCAGTGTAATAACCCAAGAATCTAGAATATTTGTAATAATGCTGCTTTGACAATGTTTTCCGTAAAGTTTCCGTAAGGTCAGAATTAAGCAATAGGTATTCTCCATTGTTACTTTCAAAAAATAGGTCAAATCGGTTATTTTCGACAGTATTTGCACTCCTCACTAAACTCGAGGTCCCAGTAACAGCTTCGAAACAAACATTTTTTGTCTGTCCGATCTCCTTTCTCCGTTCTCTGTTCCGAGGTTTTTCGAAGATAAGTTCCGAACGGTTTACGCTACACACTCCAAATTTTACTCTTTTTTTAACAGTCCATGGGATACATAATATATCCAAAAATAGCCGCCACCAAAGCTCGGCGACCATCTTTTTTTTTTTTCTCCGTTCTCTGTTCCAGAGATTTCGACGATATCTTCCGAACGGTTTTTTTTTTCGATTTTCGACTGTTTTTGGGAGCAATCTTGTTACATATTTAAAGAGATATTAAATATTTTTCTCAAAAAACCACCAAATGAAAATGTTAGTTTAATTTTAAAAGGGAAACTTTATCGAACTCGAACCGAAATTCACTCGCCGGCGTCGCAGAACAAAAGAGAATCGCTACGCGCGTTACGATCGTCTGAAGTGTGTGTTTCGCTTCGAAACAATTGCCGTCCGAGCACAAAAGCATCAGGCTCTCAACGCGATGCAACATTATCTGAAGGTGCAGCTTGACTTGTGTATCGATACTAATTCGATTACCCCCTGTAATTATTCGCCTACGGGGCGAGGTCCGACCCTTCCCCATCCCGTCCCCACCACAGTCGACGCCCCTGTTTATATTCGTGACCGTTGAAATCTCAACGATGCGGTCTCTTTTCGACTTTCCGAGGTTGATAAGAGACGAAAGGCGAAAGCAGTTTGCTAAACTGCAATAGAGCATTATTAGAATGATAAAACAGTAAAAGCAAATGATTATAGCAACAATAAAAAGTAAAATAATAAAATATGGTTTCCACAACTCAACACCTTAACACCGTTTTTAAATAATTTTGAGGTTTTGAGTGCATCGCAGACTCGCCGCTAGTATATGATATACATTAATAGCACGATATAGTAATAATAATAATAATAACGATAAATAGCCTTCATTATAACAAAAAAAAAACAATATACAATATTAATATTTTTCAAAATAAAGTCTGCTCATAGATATAAGAAAGTGACTGACAGATACGAATTAAGGAAAGACCTGAGCAAGCTGTAACAATGAAATATGGCCGAACTAAACAACATTTATTTATTTATTTATGTATTTATGTTTAAATGTAAAATAAAATTACAAATTATTTTTATTACCTACTTAAATTACTTATCACTATCGATATAATCGCCTGTTCTAATTATTATTTGCTCTATATTATTTGCAATATGGATATACGATTGTTCTGCTCTTTCTATGTGTTTAACAGAATTTGCCCAACTTTGTGGAGGGATGTTAAAAAGTTCGGTTTCTATAAGTTTGAGGACATTGTAGTTAACACGGGATAAAATATACAGTGGTAAGGTGGAAGCCTTAAAACTGTATACCCAAGATTTTTTGCATAATTATCATAGACGTATTTCTTTTGTAGGTTCAAGCTTTGTAGAACCTCAATGTCGTTATTATACATGTAGTTTTGGATTGTTACTTTTGTGTCAACAGGAATCAAAAAGATTTGTAACTATATTAGTAGTAGTCTGTAGCTGTTTCTTAAAAAAAAAATTTCTTGCAGACGCTGAGTAGCATGCGTCGCTCCTCCGTTGCCCGTCTGCAGTCGCAAACCTCTGAGCCTCTGATCGTCGTCGAAGACCAAGAGGACAAGGAGGAAGATGGGCAGAAGACGGGCAGCTCTCAACAGAGCTCCGAGGAGGGCTCGCCCACCATGAACCCGTACCTGCTGTCGCCTTACACGCGCGAGATTCGCAAGCACTCCCTGCCCACCCCCCAATGCAGCGGTATCACCGCGAGCCAAGTGCGCAGGCTCTCCGAACGTGGAGAAAGCGGTCCTGGGCCCCGTCAGGCGGAGTTCCTCGCCACTCTGTCGGCGGCGCCCCAGGTATCCCCGGGAGGCAGACGCCACTCTGTCGTGACGATCTCCAAGCTGCCTTCGACGCCGTTCGGGAGGAGCAGGAGGGAATCGGTGGCGGCTTTCCCGAGCAGCGGTTTCCCCAACCGCATCCTGCCGAATAGACGCGAGTCCATAGCTTGTCCCCCTTCTACGGAGTCCCGCGGCAGCGTCCATAACCTGCAGCTGGACATCATGGACGATATCGTGCAGGCTAGGAAGGTACGCATGAAAGTGTGGACGACCAGTAGCGAGAAACTGTGCGAGGTCCAACCCCTGGACGACGCGACGGCGTCGTCCGCGGGGGTGCAACGATACACGAACCCGGGTCGGAGGTTCTCGGAGTTCGTCGGCACCATGTTGCCGCCGATCCCGAGCGCCGCCAAGCGGCGCACGTCCGAACTACCACCGGTTTCGAGTTCAAGTAAGCCCAAATCCGGCATTGTGTGCACTAATACTGATCTATGCTCTATTTTGTCCTCTCTGTCGACGTCCGCGACTGAAATCAACCAGTGGGAGAAGGAGACGAGCGTGCGTCAGATAGCTAGGTCTAAATCTGAACGGAAACTGAAGAGTGGCAGGTGGGCCGAAACGGTGGCCGGGTTCAACGTCGACTTCGACAGTTTGTCGTCGTCCGCGTCGGGCTGGTTCGCCAAACGCCACCAGCCCAAAGCCGACGCGACGAAAAAACCGCCCGCCGCCAAGAAAGGGCCGAAGGCCAAGGTGATGTGGGACGGGCGTAGCGGTTCGTTGATTGATCCGCACGCCTTGGGCAGCGCGATCGAGGGTTTCCTCAGGCAATCGACGCCTGACGAATCGCCCGCTATCAAAGAGAACCCGAGTCTGGGCAGTAAGCTGGCGGGAAAGGTGCTGGGCGCGGCCAACAGGGTCAAGGCGACCTGGTTCTCGAAGGGCGACGACGAACCCGCCACCGACACCTGCGACTCTTCCATTTGTTCCACCCTTAAAGATTTGTTCGTCAAGTAGAGCGTCCCCCCTCCCTCAGCACTGCGCACCACGCGCCGCTTGTGACATTTTCACTCCCAGATATTCGGATATAGTATATTTCGGAAAGGCATAGAGTAATAAAGCCACACTTCTCGAATTTGGGATATTTAGCACTTGGAATGTCAGTCGCTGCGATCCAAAGGGTCAATTGTCACCCTCCGCACATTTGGTATTGGTATTGGTATTAAAAGCGGGCGCCCTCGCGAGCGTCGATGCACTTACGACACCAGATGGGCCCGTTGTGCCCCCAGGCCGCTCTACAGGGCGTCCAGAATGCCGCACCTCCTATAAAAGGTCAGCAACTCCTTTAGCCCAATACCGTGCACTGAGTCCGGATCGATCAGGGCCGTTCCGAAGACTCCTAATCTTGCCCATGTCAAGGCAGGGCACTCGGTGAGCAGATGATACGGGGTCTCCTCCCCTTCCATGCACCACCTACACTCCGGGTCGTCTCCAATGCCTAGCAAGCAAAGATGCCTCCTAAGCCTGCAATGTCCTGTGTAGGCCCCTGTTAGTGCTCTACACTCCCTTCTAAGCAACTCCCTGGTCCGAGAGAGGGCGGGCCCATCAAAAGCCTCGCCTGACTCGTTCCCGGAGCAACTCTCCGGCCCCCCGCGGCCCGGTCTTTCGCCCAGGCTTCGAGACCTCCCCACCTCACACACGGGGCGATCTCCAAGCGGGGCTCTCTCCCTATATGCTTATGCGGGGAGCCCTCTCTGGCTAAGGCGTCCGCTGCCTCATTGCCCCGGACACCGGTGTGACCCGGGACCCAGACCAACGTGACCTTCCTCTCCTCAACCACTCTCCTCAGTACCCCTTTGCACTCCTTTAGTCGAGTGTTTAAACATCCTGGAAAATACTTTAAGTTCATGTTTCCGCTGCGCATGTTGTAATGGGGAAGATTAGCGGCTCAACTAGACAGAGTTTTGCTGTTTTGGTGATAGCTTTCTGCTTGACATGACAGTCGCTGATATTGCTGCGGTCAGATGAAGGCCTATTTCGTTCTCACATTTCTTACTGTTGGAAAGCAATTGTTTAGCATTTTGTAGACTGCAATTTCTGTTGTCTTGTCTATCAATAATCATTATTTCCGTTTTCGATTTATTTACGTTCATGCCATATTTTTCGCAACACAAAATTTCTTTTATGGCCTGTATGGTTGACGCTAAAACCGGTGTGTCATCGGCGTCTCATGCCACCCATCTAGAACTTCTCGTGACGTATTAGCTATAACTGTTAAATAAGATGGGTGATAGTCCACAAAGCGGAAATACTGTGGCATATTAAATTCTCCAGCCTTTTAGTAAAAGAGATGATTTAAGAAGGTTTTGTCTTTCATAATCATATGACAATCATATTACAAGCTGTGGAGGAAGAATTTAAAAGATATGGGCACAAAAACTGAATACATGAAAGCAGGAGAGGGACAAACTGAAGATCCTGAACTACACATACGTGTATTTAGGAAGTATTATATCCAAGCAGAGTTGAACAAGGCCTGATAAATGTTCCCCTCTGGTCAAGTTTGACTTATGTAGGAGAAGTCCAGAAGATTTGTAAATTGTAAAGCTAAGAACTCATAAATCAGGGAGCGCCGAACAACGTATCTTCCACGTTCATCAGACTCAAAACTCTCTTTCCTCCTGACCAGAAAACTATTGTTCGAATTCCACTTTGGTAGATTCCACTGCACGTGCTTTCTATCTCTCTCGGTGGATTCGGATAACCTTGTTTCATCTACATTAAAATAGACTGATAATGGAGAATTTTATGACTAATCTTTCAACCCCAGGGCTTAGAAGCAAATATCCTGAGCGACGAATTTAATTACTCTATGCTTTTCAAAAATAGCCCATAAAAATAAAGTAAGTAGTAAAGCCTTTTTTTAATGTTAAATTTTAAAATGTCACAAGCAGAGTTACACCGCAAAATTGAAAACCCCTCTGGAGAAATGTCGTTTTATTGATTTAGTTACAAATTACTAAATCTTGTAAATTAAAAAGTTAAAGAATTGGCCATATATAATAAAATAAAATTTTTGTGCCACATTTTATGTAGACTCTCGTATAAACTTTTTATATGACGTTCAGCGTCATCATTGGAGGAGAAAATAGAACTGCTAGGTAAACGCGCGCATAGCGAACCCCCCCCCCCCCCCCACCCCCCCTCAAACAAACTCACTTCGCAGTCCCCGCCCCGATGTTATACGTAAAAGAAGAGAAGAGGAACGGTTAAATGCATTTCCATTGTACAGAAAACGGTTGTGAAATGGAACTTGTTGACAATCCCCCGTGTTTTAACCTCAAAGTAGTTTCCATTACGCACAATATTGACACCCACGTACAGGACGTTTCGTTGATAGAACCGACTGAAAATAACGCACAAAGTAAAAGCAGAGCCGAACCTAATGGGCACTATAGCTGTTTTTCTCACACCGAGGAGAGAAGTCATTTATATATTGCTAAAAATTACGCCATTTTGCTTATAATAATTTTGCAATTGTGTGCTGTGATATCGTTAAGTTTTCAGAGTTTTATAGGCGTTTGCTGCTATGTAAACTCGTTCATTCTCACTCCTTCGAATTATTTCTATTGTCGAGGCAGCTTCCAACGGCACAAACATGTACGTAGGCTGCGTTAGGGTCGGCTCAAGCAACATCAGTCGATAACGAAATGTCCTGTGTTTCAGCGGTGTTCACGAATATACCGAATTGGAGAAAAATTCACAATTCGCGCCGATTTGAATCCACGTGACAAATGAACCATCGAATTGTTCAAACGCGCCGTCTCCTAAAGATATGTTTTTAGTATGCAGGGCGTGACGGAAAGATGGCTCAACCTCATGTGTGAAACTATAGGCACTTATGTAAAATAAAAATATTAAAGAAAAAAAAGGAAATAAATATATGTAAGGAAATATAAATTATCAATTGATTCAAATAATTAAATCTAACGTCTAGAATTTCATTGAGAAAAGAATAAAAAAGAAACCCAATTTTCGAAATAGAAGAACAAATATTGGACACAGAAGAAAACACGGAACAGTATTTTTTTTTATTTTTATATGTTATTTTAATTATTTCACTTAGAATAGTAAAGTCATTTTTTAAGCAGAATACACTGGTATAGTTGGATATTTTCTGTCTTCAATTACATTTTCTTATATTTTCTGAGGATAATGCTATTGCATCACAAAAATTTGTAATACTGTATTTTGTTAAGTTCTTTTTGAAAAAAAAAATATTTGTTATATGTTTCACCCCTAATATAATAAAACTAGTTACTGTTGATTTAAAAAAAAATTAAAAAATATAAACAAAACATATGGCTTTTTTTTGGTATTTTTTAAGATTGTATGAACCTGTGACTTCGGATAGAATTTTCTTCTTCCCTGCAAAGACTACTTGGATTTATTCGAATTTCATCAATTTCCTTCTTATCTTTGTTGCAAATATTGGTCTTGGATTTACAAAATGATTCGTGTTGAATTAAATTTTGTTTTAACAAGTACCAGATGCTTATATTGAATTGTTGTTTTGTTTTTAAAATAACAATATTTTTTTCCAAACTTAAATATTGGGGTTAATGTTAGAAACAACATTTAGAAGTTCAAAAATTTTGCCGAAGTCCGATTATTTCCACACACTCAAGGGCTTGACCCATATTTTCCGCTCGACCCCGTAGATTCGATCCAAATAAATACTTTTATTATTCGCCTTTGACACTGTAAATAAACCCGACCGTTCCCGCGAATTTGTCCGACCCAACTTTCTGACAAATCCAAACGTTTGTCAGAGTATTGTGTTTCGTGTTTCGATGAAAGTTTGCGGCACCGTCCGAATTAAATAAAGTTCCAGTCGGCGGTAGGAATGCAGGTTTGATTCGCAGAATAGAATTAGTTCGTTTGTGTTTGCGAAACTCCCGTTTTGTCTAATCGAGTCTCTAAATTGTTGACACGTGCACCGAATATGTACGTAGATTATTACGGACCGTACGGTTTTCGTTTATATTCCCACTTTCGCCAACGGAGTTTAGTAAAAAGGATGGGCCAAAACTTTTTACACAAAAGTTGTGTGATTTTTTTCTCTATCGCCTTCCGTTTAATTAATTTTTTAAAAATTTCAGTCCTCTACGAAAATGCAAGTGCATGCATACCAATTTAATATTTATTGCGCTTAAGCTTTTTTTATATTTTTCAAGGTGTCATCCTATAACGAAAGAGCTACCTAGAACAACAAAGTAGCGATTATTTTGAAAAATCATATTGTGGCTCATTAAATAGACCATTCTTAATTCAAAACTAATACATTAGCAAAAAATTGCAAAAATTTTGAGATCTTCCGAAATGACCAGTTGTACCATACATTTATCCGAACTTTGCTGACAACTAGATTATTGTACAGTTGTACAGTACAGTTATTACAAAGTTGTATGATTTTTTCTCTATTATCTTCTGTTTAATCGATTTGAAAAACGTCAGTTGGATACTAAATTGCAAATACATACATGCAAAGTCATATTGCGGTTCATAATTTTTTTATATCTTGTTTAATTTTTATTAAAGAAATTTGTCCGAACATTGCTGGAAACTAAATGACTGTCGTGTATGCACGAGTTATGGACAGGTTGCTAGCTAAAAGACGACTTCAGAGGATACGATATGATGAGTTTTTGGTGTCATCTTAGATTTATGGACTACATGGTTAGGCGAAAATTTTTCACACAAATGTTGTATGACTTTTTCCCTTCTTCAGTTTAATCATTTTTAAAAATGTATAGACGTAAAAAAAATTAATATTTAAAAAGATAAGTGAATGAACATTACATTATGAAGATGATATTCCTTAAGTTTTTTTATTCAATTTAATTAAATCATATTGTGGTTTACAAAATTGGCCATTTTTAATACAAATGACTTCTCATTTTACTTTTCTTTTAAAGAAAAAAATGTGGTAAAGGAATTTTAATTGAATTTCCGCTACTTTTTCGGAAACAAGAACGTATAAACATATCCTACCCGATCATTTTATTAAATTCTTTAAACACAGATATTACTTTAATTTTTGTCTCTTTTGCTTCGATTGTTGACAAAGTTGACAAAAACAATAAAAAAGAGGGACGAAAAAAGAATTCATTGAAATATGCGAAACACAAAATGTCTACCTGACATTCGAGAGGTAATTCCCTGGAACGGTACCTATATGTGATGTTTAGGATGTAACATGATATAAACTATCCCGGAAAAAAACGTTTTTTATATTGCCCTTACTCTTTTGAACGTTTCTCGAATGTCAAATATGGAAAAACTTAAAAGAGGGGTCGATCAAAGAACGTAGGTTCCCGGGACGTCGTAGTTAGTAACATTTGTGATCTTCTTCGCACGTCGAAGCTTCGTATTTTTAATTCGTAGAGTTCGGACCATAAAATCGATGTTATTGTAATCTAGACAATCCGGTGTCTTAGCTTTAGGCCTCGCCGGACGGGCTCTCCGTCGAAACTTTCGTTAATTTAATTTCTAATCGCATTCGTTGACGTTAGCTCGTAATCTCTCCTTTGTCTCTAGTTTAAGGGAGGATAACGAAGTTCCGCGGGCCCCACTTTTTGTTTACCTTTGCGAGAACTTTTGTTGCTCGTATTGTTTAACTTGTAATTTGCCATTTCGAATTCTCGCGAGTTTTCACTTGGAGAGGTCCTTTCTTAGAGGAATATTTTCGCATATTAAAAAGAAATGGCAATGTTGTTTCTTTGGAACTATTTTTTTACATTTACGAAGATTTTTTCAGTGCCGTTAAAATTTGTTTGTGTTAGCTAATTAAGGGTGTTTTTTTTTTAGATTTCTGACAATATATTGACATCCAAAATAAAAAACAACAAATAAAATAAAAACAAAAAATACTGTTAAGAAACTATAATTTAACCGCCAGGTTTGTTAATTTAGCTATTTTTTTGAAATTTCTTGACATTAGTACACACGTCATTCAAAATTTGCATTTTACCATTCTTGGAACTTTTTTTGATGACTACGGTTTTTGAAAATTTCTCCACATTTGTGATGGCTTTGACTCTAACTAACTAATTTTTTGACATTTATAATTTTTTGAAAACTGGCTACTAAATATTGCCATTTTGGAAAGATTCTTAAGATATTATTGTTTTGACGTTTTTAACTCACTAAAACTAAAAATTTGCTCATCTAACAACGTTCAAGAAAATTTCTTGAAATGTATAGACTTTTTTAATCATTTATATATTTTGGAACATTCCTGACTAACCCAAACAAAATATGCGCTTATGTATTGCTAATCAAATAAATTCCTTGGCATTTATAGCCTTTTGCATAACATCACAGCATTGGGTGTTGAGTCGAAATGTCGGTGTTACCGTTCTGGGAAAAGTCTTCGCAATTGTACATTTTTCTGACTCTCTTGGTTGTTAACTCAATATTTGTGTATTGTCAAGTTCGTAAATTTCTAGACATTTATAATTTTTCGATATTCTTCGTTAATCAAAAGTAAAAATTTGTGTTGATTTTTATATATTTTTTGACATTTTTGGGTATGAACTCAAAATTTGAGGATTATCATTTTCGAATTTTTCTTGACATTTATAATTTTTCGATATTCTTCACTAACCGAAACTAGAAATTTAGGTATCTGGTACGATTCTTGAGAACTTTTTAAGATTATATATTGACTAAAAAAAACCAACCATTTATACATTTTTTTGACATTTTTATATTAGCTTCTGGGAAATATCTTGGCATTTATAATTTTTCAATATTTTTCACTAAGCAAAATTGAAAATGGATGTATCTATTACGATTCTTGAAAGCTTTTTAACATTTATACATTTTTTTGACATTTTTCTATTAGAATATTGCAAATTCCTTGACATCCATAACTTTTAGATATTTTTCATTAACAAAAACTGAAAACATTTGTACATTTTTTTGACATTTTTGTATTAGAATATTGCAATTCTTTGATATTTATAATTTTTTTGATATTCTTCACTAATAAAAACTAACAATTTCCGTATGTATTACGACTCCTAAATTTTTTTAACATTCATACGTTTTTTGATATTTTTGTATTAGAATGTTGTAAATTTCTTGGCATTTATAATATTTCGATATTCTACACTAACCAAAACAA